CCGGATTTTAGATTATGCACACTCAATAAATGTAAAGCATTTGTTTGAAAGTTACAAAGGTTGAAAATGAAGGAAAAAAAAGAAAGAAAGGGAGAAGGAAAATGAAACTGCAAAAAAGAACCCAAATACAGCACACATAAAACCCCCCCTCAAGATACCCAATCAAAACGCCCAGTCAAGACACCCCATCAAGACATCCCATCCCACACCCCATCTCCCCCCCCCCCCTTCAATCACAACAGCGTATCGACCATGTACGGGGCCTCCACCCAGAGAGCCCCGCCTTCCACATTGACATCGTCCCTCTCCCGGTCCACCAAATCTACGTTAATCCCCCCCATGGAAGACGCCGCTCGAAGCAGGATGACACGGGCTTGCGCACGTTGTAACGCCACCCCGATGAGCGCCTTTAGTGACCCTAAAAGATAAGCCGAAAACACAGAGTCGTCCTCTCGACAAGCCCCCCGCGACAAAGCTAGCCCCACGTGCGCATCCCCCTGCTGACGAAGCTGTCAAAACTAGCAGGCAGAAACAGAAATTATAAAAGGAGGGTTTGCACTAGCAGCAGTTGAGATACATATAGGAAACCCTAATTAGGTTGTACTCGCTATAGAGTACCCCACTGTAGGCTAGACAAGCATGATATTCTGACACACCCCCATTGTCAAAGTGTGGTATATTCAATATAGTAAGCAATCATAAAGTAAGATCACCAATTACAAGCAAAGCTAGAGGTAATCACAGAGGGCAAGTGAGGAGGAGGAGGGATTGTGAGGGGAGAGAAGATTGGAGACGACGGCTGAAGCTGCAGACACACGGGCAACAGGAGCGCGCACACAGTGGCTACCAGGAGAGCGCCCCGGACTACTGGAGTAACTGGCTCGGCGGCTACGAGGAGCGGCAAGAGCAACGGACCCACGGGCGACAGGCACAGCAGGCTCGCTGGGCTACCAAGAGCACGACGGCTCCGTACTACTGGCGCTGCAGGCGACATGACGGCAGCCTCCACGCAACCTCCCCCGACCGTCCCACACCCCTCTCACACACCCCCTGCTGAAACCCTAGCTCCACTCCCATGGCACCCCCCTTAAACCCTAAACCCTCGGCTCCCACACACCCACCCCCCTCAGCGGCAGCTGCAGCAGTGGGAGACGGAGGAGGAGTAGGAGCTGCAGGGTACCCACACCGGTCACCCCCATGCCCGCCACCCCCAAACCCTAACGCAGGCAGGAGCGCGGGAAGCAGCAGGGGCAGTTCACGGAGGGAAAGGGAGGTGGCGGAGGGGTCTCCTGGGCGCCACGAAGGAGCAGGGCGCGGGCCCCCCGAGGGTGCCACGGCGGGTGACGGGAGGGGGGCCGCGCACGGGCCCCCGAGGGCGGCTCGACGAGCGACGGAAGGGGCCGCGCGCGGGCCCCCAAGGTGCCGCGACGAGGCGACGGGAGGGGGCGGTGCGCGGGCCCCCAAGGCGCCGCGACGAGGCGACGGGAGGGGGCGACGCGCGGGCCCGTCCGTTTTTATGGGTTTTTCATCCCGCCGTGTGCTCGGGGCGCGCGACGGTTTTCTGCCTGCCGTGCGCCCCGAGGCGCGCGGCGGTTTCGTGCCCTGGGGAGCCTGCGCGCGCCCCGCCCGTCCGTCGCGGCGCCATGGGCAGCACGCGCGGGCCCCCGCCCAGCTCGTCGCGGCGCTCTGGGGCGCACGCGCGTCCCCGCCCTGCTCGTCGCGATGCCCTGGGGAGCCGCATGCGCCCCCTGCCTGTCCGTCGCGGCGCCCTGGGGAGCCGCGCCCGCCCCCTGCCCGTTCGTCGCGGCGCCCTGGGGAGCCGCGCCCGCCCCCTGCCCGTCCGTCGCGGCGCCCTGGGGAGCCGCGCGCGCCACCCTTCCGCCCCTCCCGTCCGTTTTGGCGCCCTGGGGGTCGTGCGCCGTCCCTCCCCTCGCCGTCCCCCGCGCTCCTGCCCCTATCCCACCCGTTTTAGGGTTTTGGGGGTGAGGGGTGTGGGGGTGGCGGGTATGGGGGTGGCGGTTGTGCATTCCTCCCTTTGCTCCTCCTCCTCCCTCGTCTCTCACTTCTGCAGCTGTCGCTGAGGGGGGTGGGTGTGTGGGAGCCTCGGGTTTAGGGTTTAAGGGGGGTGTGTGGGAGTGGAGCTAGGGATTGAGCAGTAGGTGTGTGTCGAGGGTGTGGGGCAGTTGGAGGAGGTTGTGTGGAGGTACCTGTCATGTCGCCTGCAGCGCCTGTAGTCCGTCGCCCTTGCTTCGATAGCCAGTGAGCCTGTTGCACCAGTCGCCAGTGGGTCCGTTGTTCCTGTCGCTCTTCTATAGCCGCCGAGCCAGTTACTCCAGTAGTCCGTCGCCCTTGCTTAGGTAGCCTCTGAGTCAGCCGCTCCTGTGCCCGTGCCTCTGGAGCTTCAGTCGTTGCCTCCCATCTTCTCTACCTCCACAGCTCCTCCTCCTCACTTGCCCGCTGTGATTAGCTCTAGCTTTGCTTACCTTTGTGAACTCCTGCTCTATACCTGCTTGCTCATTGTACTGATTACACCCCACTTAGGCTATGGGGGTGTGTCAGAATGTTATTCTCTAGCCTGTAGTGAGGTGCTCTATAGCGAGTACAACCCATCTAGGGTTTGCTATATGTATCCTCATTGCTGCTAGTGAAAACCTCTCTCTCTTTGCCTAAACTGTTACTTCCCATGCTAGGGCTTTTCTAGCTATGGCTCCTGATCCTAACTGTACCTACTATTTTCACAGGTGATGGACGCTGCGCATGGCAAATCAACACACTTTTCTTGCACGTGCAGAAATTAAGAAAGGATGATCCGAAACGTGAAAAACCTGCCCGAGTTCTAATTGAGTTTCCTTTACCGATATATGATGAAAACACTACAAGTAGTATAAATGGTAGGTAATGAAAGCTAAGGTATCCCAACAAGTATAATATACATGTACCGTAAGAACATTATTTTTTTTACGGGCTAACTTTAGAAACATTCAGGCAGACTTTTCATGGAACCGCCCTTTCCAAATTTCTGCAAGTGAAAAAAAAACGTGTTGATTTGCCATGCGCAGCGTCCATCACCCACGTCAACAATACAACCAAGTTAACATTTTAAGTTCGTATGAGAAGATTTGGGGCAAAGCATAAATCCGCGTCGAAATTGGGCAAACATGCAATGATTGCTTCTGGAGACGTCAGAAAATGTAGAATCGAGAGCCAACCATTCCCGATTTGGCTTTGCGTAATCCGTAAACACATCTATTCTTGACTGTTTGTGCTAATTCGAAACGAATTTTGGGAAGCGCGTCATATTACGATAACAACTTTCTAAGCTGCGTAAAGTGTACACACCTGCCGAATAACATGTCATGCACTTGAAAACATTTTCCAGGCTATGTGGCATGCACCTGAAAATGGCCGCGAATTATTTCTCGAGACCTCTGTTGCGCTCAGGTACGACGTTTAGAATCAGATATATCAGAAATTTTGCCTCAGTTTGCTTTCTCATCTCGCCGAAACTGTACATGCGCGACAGAACTCGGGAAAATGGAGGCGGGAAGGAATACTCAGGTGGGGAGGACTGGCTTGTGGGACCCCAGTTCCAACAGATTCCAGCTGTACAGCCGGATAGCCGGTTGTCTTGTGTGTTTGGCTGGGGGTCGTACAATCTCCTCCGGATCAGCGCTGAGGTTTGGTTTTGAGGCACCCAAACGAATGTGGAGGTGCAGAATTGAACATTGAATGAAGAAGGCCTGACCCGATCGTCCTTACGAATTAGGGCTGTTCGTGGCCCTTTTCAGACTTCAGGTCAAAAGCCCTTAGTCTCCAATTTGGCACCTCCGAAGATTTGCCTCACAAACGAGCCACTTCGGGTCTTCCGAGCCTCCACTTCGGGTCTGACCTGAAGTCTGACACAGGCTAAGCATGCGCCCTTAGACATCACTCATCGACACCCACCCATGCTTGATAATATTTGTTGATGGCTGAAACTGAAACTGATTTTTTTGGAGCATCGACAAATGAAGATGCGTTGGTGCTAGGCCCTGTTCGGCAGGAGTAATGGGCGTTATGGGCGTTACAAACCCGCTGGTCCAAACGCAGGCTCGGGAACTGGAGGAATCTCGTCGAAGTCAGTAAAAATCATGTAGACACTGTTCGGCTGGCGTTAAGGGCGTTAAAACAATGCCATGGAAAGGTTGTGGGTTTCGCAGCACCTTCGTGAAATCACATAATTGGTCTACATTTTCAGCCAGTCGCAATTGATTTGCCGCATCACCAAACCGCCGCATGGTGCAAGCTCTGGACGGCGCACTACGGGGCGGATCAGAGGTCCGCTCTTTTGCTAGTGAAGGTGATTTCCTGGAACGCCGGCAATAAAAGGCCGTTCGGCAGGCATTTTAACGCCCTCAGGCTCGGCAGCAGAACACCTATATCGAACCTTGATAACCGACGTTCGCTTATTGTTTTACTGTAGCCGGTCCCCGAGCCTGATATCAACGGCCTTTTTAACGCCTGCCGAACAGGGAAGGTAATGCAAACCTTCAGTTTCAGGTCTGTTATAGTTTAGCCCTTCAATTTCAGTCAGGATAGAAAGAAGCCCTTCATTTTCAGGTGATTAACGGCAAATTTACTGAAAGCACCAGCCTTGCCCACGCCGACGCCGACAGCCCACAGTCCCAACAGATGATGAGATGATCCGTCGAGAAACATTACAGTTCTTTACCGTGTGGAAATCATCCCAACGACAAGAGATGAAGTACAACGACGAATTGAGCCATGAATGAATGGTCAGCTGGCGGTCCACGTGTGACGGCGGAGCACATACTTCAATGAGCGGTGTGTTACGAGGGAAATCTCGGTTCTTTAGTCAGTTGAACTGTTTTCCAGCGAGGCTGATGGTGGCAGTGGGCGGGAGTTGGTGAACTATTTGGACTGCTTGATTCACTATACTACTAAATTTACAGGTACTACCATAGAAATGGCCGCGCCGTTCAGTCTTTGTTCCCGATGCTATGGGCGCCGGGGAGGGGGGTAAAAGCAGCGACTCGCTCGGAGTGCGACCGCACCTTACTCGAGCCCTCGCAGGGAGCGGCTTATACATGCGCCGCGATACTGTTCCCCTCGTCATGGAGTTGGCGGGTGCGCGGCTGTAACGCCTGGGGGGCGCGGCGAAGGGTTGAAGGGCATCAGCTGCGCCTCTTTAACACCCCCGTTTCGGGCCGCGTAGCGGGGGCGTTATAGCGGCAAGCACGCAGGGCGCTCTCCATCCGGACTCCCCTCCTCCATTCAGCTTCTCCTTGCCCCTTGCCCGCTTTTCCCATCCCTGACCCCCTCCCTCTCCCCACCCCCCCGATATCACCCCTGCAGGCATTGGAAACGGCGGGAGGACTTGTAGACGCGAGAGGGAGGGAGAGCGGCGATGGCAAGGAGCGATCGAGTGAGCACTGATTCCAACCTCGCAGTGCGCGGCTTACTGCGTGCTAAGGCCGCGCGCCGCGAATACTTCTCATCATCGTCTCGAAGTTTGCGGGTGCGCGGCAGGCCCGCTCAGGGCGCGCATGGTGCCTCCATCCAGGACGGGGTCCCCTCCTCCACTCAGCTTATCCTTGCCCCTCGCCCCCTCCCCCATCCATTCCCCCTACCCTCCCCCCCAAACTCCTCCCCCTCCTGCAGGCAATGAAAGCTGGGGGAGGAGCTGGGGACGCGAGAGGGAGGCGGCGAGGGGTGATGGCGAGGAGCGGTGGCGCGGGGGTGGTTGGGCGGGTGGCGGTGATGGGCGTGGTGGCGGTGATGGCGATGGTGGGGAGCGACGAGGGCCTCACGAAGGGCGGTTGGGCGCAGCGCTGCTTCTGGCGCAGCAGCGGCTGCAGCCGTGGCTTCCTCCCCATCATGTTGGCGCACGCTGCTCCTCTTAACCCCAGCCAGTGTGAGCTTGAGATCGTCCGTGTGTGTGTGTGTGTGTGTGTGTGTGTGTGGATGAGTGGTTATGGGTGTGTGTGTTGCGCGCGTGTGTGTGTGTGGGTATGGGGGTGTGAGTTGTTAGAATCCTGTGAAGAATGAGAATCGAATGTGGTCCAAACATTCTTCCCAGCGCTAGAACCAAACACTAAGTAGCGTAAACCCTAAAGTAGTACACCCAAATAAGGTCTGGTTCCCTAAATCTAAACAAGCAAACTAGCATATGCAAGAAGAAAGGAATAGAGGGATTCTAACACAACCCCTCAGCCTGCAAAGAGCCAGGAGGTTTGAATGAAAGACGGAGCAATCCCCTCAATCAGCAGGAGGTAAGACGGTGGCGGGAGAGCCTGAAGCGAGGGCGGCAGGCCACAAAGCACGGAGCGGTAGGGGTGGTTGAAGGGTACTGAGGAGGAGGAAGTGGTGGAAGCGGGATTGAAAAGGCGGGGTGGCAGTATGGGACGCAACATAGAAGAACAGGAGCGTGGGGGGGGGGGGGAGGGGCGGGCTGGAGGGCCCACGAATGGAGGACAGGAGTGGGGGTTGCTGGATGGCCCAACGAAGGGAGGGGGGCGGCAAGGAGGAGGAAGGGTGGGGAGAGAAAATCTGGGTGGCCCCAGAGAGGAGGGCCGGCGCGGCGGCACGGCAGGCTGGCGCTGAAGGCGCGAAGGGCCGGCAGCAGGAGGGCGCCTTTAGGCGCGAGGGCAGAAGCGGCGGCAGCAGGGCGCCATTACACGCAAGGGCGGAAGCAACAGCTGCTGAGTGAAAGGGCTTCCGCGCCGCAGTTGCGATTCGGCGAACGTAGGGCGAAATCGCGTCCGCGCGGCTGCTGGTCACGACGACGCTGAGGCTGCGGGCAAAAAGAGGCGCAGGAACACAAGCGGGTGGAAACTAGTTTTAAGGAGGGGAGGGAGGGAGGGGCGTGGAAATACAAGCGGGACACATGGTCTTAGGAAGGGAAGGGGCGTGAGTGAGAATGCTGTGATAGCATGTTAGAATCCTGCGAAAGAATGGGAATTGAATGTGGAAAATATTGTTTAGGGTTAGAAGCAAGCGGTATACATAGATGAGCTAGGAGAGGGGGGTTTGTTGGAAGCTTGGCCAAGATAATTGTGCCTCACCAATATGGTGGGTTGGATAAATTATTCGGGCCTCCAATAATCTTGATCCCCCAATGATTCCCTTACCAACCTTTGGGGTCCAAACATTTTGGTCAAGGCTGGAACCAAACCCCAACTAGTGCAAAACCTAGTTATACACAAAATTAGGATTAGGTCCCTAAATTCAGACAAGCAAACTAACATATGCAGGATAAATAGTATAGAGGTATTTCAACATGTGTGTGGGTGTGGATGTGGGTGTGTGTGTGTGGGGGTGTGCGTGTGGGAGTGGGTGTGGGTGTGTGTCTGGTGTGGATGTTGGTGTGGGTTTGGGTGTGGGTGTGGGTGTGGGTGTGGGTGTGGGAGTGTGTGTGTGTGTGTGTGTGTGTGTGTGTGTGTGTGTTCGTGTGTGTGTTGGTGTTGGTGTGTGTGTGTGTGTTTGTGTGTGTGCTGTGTACTGCACCCAAGGCACCACCAGGGCTTGTGATCATACACACATGCCACTCACGTCAAATCACATAATCATTGTCAGCGCATGGCTTGGCTTCACAGTGACCCTTTCCTTAGGGATCGCAGCACAAGCGTCCCTCACCCCTCGTATCTCACTGCCCTTCCTCTCCCGCCCCCCCATTGCTGCGCTGCACCCGTTGCATCTCTGCACCCATTGCTGTGCTGCACCCATTGCTGCGCTGCACCCATTGCTGCACGGCTCCCATTGCCGCGCTGCACCCGTTGCATCTCTGCACCCATTGCTGCGCTGCACCCATTGCTGCGCTGCACCCATTGCTGCACTGCACGGCACCCATTGCCGCGCTGCACCCGTTGCATCTCTGCACCCATTGCTGCGCTGCACCCGTTGCTGTCCTGCACAGGGCCGGCACTGCGAGACATGAAGGCGCAGTGGAGCAGTGTGGCGCCTCAGTACACCGACACCTGGAAGGAGGGCGCAAATTGCGGCAGAACTACCTTCGGCGTCCTCTGTGACGCAGATGGCTACGTGACGAAACTGTGAGTATGAGGCACTCACCTGCAGTGCTCTTGAGACTCGGTGGGTTTGTTTTGGGGGACCCTCTGCCAGACCAGACTTGAGTTGTGGTGTTGCCCATGTTCGCCGTTCACGCTGCCTCCTTGCCACTGCAGTGCATGCAGTATGCTGGGTGCTCCTCTGCTGCCGCTCTTGTCTGTTTTTACCTTGCAGATTCTGCGTACTTTAGCCTAGGAAATTTCAGGTGGTTTCGCTATTGACTGTTTTGCCTAGCCAGTTTTGAGTGAGTTCAGTGACTGTTTGCTATCTGCCCCATTCTGGCACATAGATTGCCAAATGTGCTTCGTTGCTTTAAACATTATGCTTAGGCGTGCAAAACTCGTAGCAGGGTGAACGCTGCAGCGGATTCTTGGATTATGCTGTGTTGCAACTTGCAAATATGGCAATAAGTTGAGTTACTGCGGCGAAACGTTTTTCGGCATTTCAAGCGCTAGCATTTACACGCAAAAAGCTCATCCCTACCAGGCGCACGCAAAACGATCACCCCTTCCAAACCCTCAGGCAAATGTCGGAAGATATTTCCCCAAGGACAATATTTTTCCCCAGGGAGTTGAGTTTTTCCCCAAGGAAAATATTTTTCTCCTGGGGTGGTTGAGATTAGCTTGCTGGTTTTAACTAGAATTCCTAGCGCTAGGAGGGTGAGAGATTTAGGACTGACGTGGCCTAGTCACAGTGTTCCCTTGCAGAACACATTGACAAGAGATTGTGGGTTCGACGCGTGGGAATGACATGGTTGAGTTGGGTTAGATTTTCATGGGTTGGCTGAGCATGAGCCGAACCCAGTTTGGCCGGGTCGAACCGAGTTTGGCCGATCTCAGAACCAGGCTTAATCTGGTGCGGTCCGGGTTTGACTCTTACCTCTCCAGGCCTGGGCCGGGCGAGTTCAAGTTTGGTTCTGTGGGGCCAAACCTATTTCGTTAGTCACGTTCCTCACTGATTTTTCTGTTTTTTGCAGCTGGGAAAATCAGACCATGGCTGGTTTGCCGAGCCGAGCCAAACCCAGTCCGGCCTGGGTCGAACATGTTCAATTTCAGCCAGCACTGAACCCAGTTTGGCCTGACCTGGATTGCCAACATGAACGAGCCAAAATTGAACTGGTGCGATCCAGGCCGAACCAGGTTTGCCAGTCCGCTCAAGCCTACTCAGGAGTGGAGTGTGGTGGGTTGGTTCGATTGGTCAGTGGTTGGGTATTCTAGATACGAAGGGGTGATGTTGGGTGATCTGGTTTTGCAAGATTGCAAAGCTGTGTTCCAAGTGAAGTTTTTGTCGACCATCTTAGTTGATACGTGCAATCGAAAGGTGAGTGATTGCATGCCTTGATTGGGTGGTGATGCATTCGCCAAAGCCTGTTACAGGTGCTGTCGAAAATCGATTAAGCCAGAAAAGAACGAAACACCCTGTCTCCCATTGTGCTGCTCTGCTCGACACATGAGGAGCTCACCGCACGCACAAGGAACCCATTCCATGTTCCTCTGACAGTGTTGGTTGGGCAGCTCGAATCAACAGGTGCACAGCACATGCACGAGTTGCATGGAGGAATGATGGATTTGAGGTACAATGCTGGCCTGCCTCTTTGCTTACTGGTGTTTTTTGGTCTGCCACCCTGCCCACACTAACCTTCCCTTTTTTGTGTGTGCATTTTGATCCGTGGATACATATTCGAACAGAGTCCTCAGTGGCGCTCATTTGAATGGCCCTTTTCCTCAAGCCGTCACTGACTTCACCAGACTGGTCTTATTGTACTTACTCCTTCTACACCTTCGCCCCTCCTTCCGCCTCGTTCCCTCTCCCCCCCCGGCCGCCGCCCCCCTTCCCCTCCCCACCCCCAACCCCCTTCAGCTTCTACTACCCCCCTCTCCATCTCTGTCTCCTTCTCGCTCTCTCCCAGCCCCCCTGGCCCCCTCCTTCTCTGCCTCCATCTCCCTCCCTCCCTTTGTCTTCTGTTCCATGCTTTGCCTTACTGCCACTTGAAGTGTCACGGCATCACCCAAGCCATCTGTTTCATTCTTCAGAGTCCACCCCCCCCATTCCACTCGCTCTCTCGCACCTTGCTCTTCTTATTCTTCACTCTCACCCTCGCCCTCCTCACCCTTGCCTCCCCTCCCTCACCACGCCCCCCTCCTCTACTCACGCAGTTATATAGACGGGAACTCACTCACGGGCTCTATTCCAGCAACTATTTCCAAGCTCATCTCTCTAGAGGAATTGTGAGATGCCTCCTCCATGTAATGCCTCCAAGGCTGCCACTGACAGAAATGAAGCGCCTGTGATCCTTTTCCCTCATTAGCCAAGCCTCAACGTCCATTAGGTCACTTGGATGGATCATGGACCTCTTTCCATGGTTTACTTTGCATGTGCTCGCATTGCCTTGCATCACTTGCAAGTGTTTCTTGCATCACTTGCATGGGTTGCGTCACCTTGCATGCTATCTGCTCTGCATGCCCTGGGACAGGCATGCGCGTATTACGGGTCGATTTTACTCAGCTCGTTTTCGCTTGACTCAATCGATTTCGAGAAGAGTGGGAGTAAGACACGGATCGAATTTTTTTCACTTGATTCTGACCGACTCTTTACGCGCCCCAAAGTTTGAGTTCGTGTTTTGTTTTGGAACGAATAACTCGACTCGTGGCAACCCCCTTCTCTCACCCACCACCCAGAAGCCTGTGCTTTATTCGTGCTAGTGCCTCATTCCTGCAGATATGGGATGAGATCATGTTGCAATTTATTGTTTTCTGTTTTTTTTTTTTTTTTCTTTTCTGTTTACTTGCAAATTACGACAATACTCATCCTCGAGTTGATTAATGATCGAGTTACGCGTTTACTCAAGTCAAAGCGTTTTTTTTTTTTTTTTTTTTTTTTCCACAAGAATCAAACTCGCTTCTCACTCATGATTCCACCAAGGCTTTAGGGCACGCTATCGTCGATTTTGGTATTCGAGAGAACACTTCTATTGGCCATGTTGTCATGTACACTATTCCTACCCGACGTACCGTGAGCTGAGCTGAGTGTATTAGAGCTTTGAGGATTCATGAACATGACCCTACTAAAACCTGGCCTAGTGAAGGATGATCAGAAGTACGAATATGGAATGGGAGCCTTTGTGGACAAGCATTATGCAGAGCAGTGGAAAACATTTGTGGAGGTGAAGCCTAGGCTTAGTTGGGAAAATGGACTTCTCGCTCTAAATTGAGTGCATATTTAGTTCATTCATACATATCAGTTTTTTCTCCAGTGTTTGATCCGAAGTCACATTCGACGCAGAGCAACGATTTTGTTAAAAACGCATTTCGACAGTACACCATTTGTCGTGGTTGTGTTGCATTTGCTTGCACAGGCTTACCTTGCATCCCCTTGCATGCCTTGCATCCCCTTGCATGCCTTGCATCCCCTTGCATGCCTTGCATCCCCTTGCATGCCTTGCATCCCCTTGCATGCCTTGCATCCCCTTGCATGCCTTGCATCCCCTTGCATGCCTTGCATCCCCTTGCATGCCTTGCATCCCCTTGCATGCCTTGCATCCCCTTGCATGCCTTGCATCCCCTTGCATGCCTTGCATCCCCTTGCATGCCTTGCATCCCCTTGCATGCCTTGCATCCCCTTGCATGCCTTGCATCCCCTTGCATGCCTTGCATCCCCTTGCATGCCTTGCATCCCCTTGCATGCCTTGCATCCCCTTGCATGCCTTGCATGCCTTGCATCCCCTTGCATGCCTTGCATCCCCTTGCATGCCTTGCATCCCCTTGCATGCCTTGCATCCCCTTGCATGCCTTGCATCCCCTTGCATGCCTTGCATCCCCTTGCATGCCTTGCATCCCCTTGCATCCCCTTGCATCCCCTTGCATGCCTTGCATCCCCTTGCATCCCCTTGGCCCACCACACAGCAACGCCAGTAGCAACCAGATCGGTGGGTCCCTGCCTGGGGAAATCGGCGCTCTCACTGCCCTGAAACAACTGTAACGCCCTCCACTCCTCGCACTGTCCCCTGCACGCCTTTCGACACCTTTCCACCCTTTCTCGCCCCCCTTCCATTCCCTCGTCCCCAAAACCCATCCTATCCTTTGATGCACTCCCCCTCATTGTGTGTTTCTGCTTCTTCTTCCCCTGAAAGGGCTATTAATGCTGTTGCAATCAAGCCCATCAGACGGCACAGCAAGTAGCACATCCCATAACTAGCTAATCTAAAAGACCTGCAACAACCGCTTGTAATCAGTTTCTCACATCCTGATTCTTCCTTCTTTGCTCCATTCGGCCACTGCATGTTGTCCTTTCTAAATCCAGGTATTTGCAATACAATCGGTTGGAAGGGTCTATCCCCACATCCATCACCCAGCTGACTGCTCTCACCGTTTGGTAAGACCAGCGCTGCCATCCCATACATGTGCCAGCTAGAAGCAGATTTCGCGCTCTCAAAGCAGTTGATATCAACCATTCGGAATGGCTGTACGAGTGCACGATGTGTGTGTGCATGAGTGTGTGCAAGCATGCTTGTGTGAGGTGCAGCTTGCCCTCAAAGGCATTCTCCCCAAAAACACAGCCCTCATACAAGACTGGTTTTGTCTGAAACAAGCTCTTTCCCCACATGCTTGTGAAACCTTCCTCGTCATCCCTGCAACAGTGAGCTGAGTGGCAACCGCATCACGGGACCTCTACCAAAAGGCCTTGGAAGTATCTCGAACCTGGTAGCTTTGTGAGTCCATCTCGTCTCGTGCCCTCGCACAGCACATTACTGCGCTCCCCTTGTCTAATGCATCCCTCTCCCCTCACACAAGGCCCTTTTTTCTATGGCCTCACTGTGCTGCCCTGCTGCCTCCTACACACTTGCTCCCCCTTTCTTTGCCCCCTACTCCTCTCTCCACTTCCCCCCTTCCCCCTCCTCTCCCCAACTCCACCCAACAACACATCACATCACATCACATCACATCACTCCAGCCGTGCGTACGACAACCTCATATCAGGCCCCCTGCCTACCGCTCTAACAACCTTGACCAATATTGGTTCCCTGTGAGGCTCTCCATTCCAGATTAGCATGCGTCTACCATGCTAGCCTACTAGTGTTCTCGAATGGGTGTAGCACTTTATTTGGCCTGCGACGCTGTTGAGTTGAGTTGAGTGTACATGTTCACTGGCTGGCTGGCTGGGGTGCCAGTCCAACCTGAGTATGTGGAATCTACAAGCACAGAAGATTATTGATCTGTCACAAAAAAAGGTAACAGAAGCTTAAGAAGTCTGTCGCCACTCACTTGTGCGGTTGGTTGGTCTCTCTGCAACACTGTGACCACTTCGCTACCTTGCCATGTATGCTCTTCGGCCTTTTTAAGCAACTGAACCTCTTCATATGTATTTGCCTGCATCCACTCTCTTGCATGCCCGTTAAGCAACAAAAGCCCACGGTCTGAATGCATTCTTTCTTGTGTCGCTTGTTCATTCATGTAGAGAGACTCCCATGCCGCGCCTTGCCCACCAATTCTCTCATGCCAGCCGTGTTGTCGTGCTAACTTTGATACATCCCACTCCACCGTACCTTCTCCTCACTGCGTTTTGCACGAATGAAGTTGCCTTTCATACCTGCATGCCATGGACCATTTCCCATGGTTCCATGTCGTATACTCCATTTGTTGCTGTTCGATTTGGCTGAAGCGGTTCGACCACTGGTGAACCAAATCGAGATTCACTGGTGAACCAAATCGAGATTCACTGGTGAACCAAACTATGACCAGTGTTCAGTTGAACCGAACGGGTTCGGTTCAACTGAAGCGAAGGTTTGTGGAAGTTGGTGGCAAACCTGTTCGAGATCAGTTCGTGGCAAACCTGTTTGAGATCAGTTCGTGCCTTGCCCAACCACCTGACCCTGCTTTCTGATTCTTCAGTAAGAAACAAAAATTTAGGTGGAATTTGCTCTATTGCTCCCTCCCACACCACATTTCCCTCTCACTGCTCCATTGTCACTCATTTTCATGTCTTTTTTCTCCATCTGCACCCATTCGTTTTCCTCATTTGACCACTCCACCCCTCCAATTCTCACTGATCCTTGCAAGGCAGTGAGCTGCAGAACAACAAGCTGAGTGGGCCCGTTCCTGCTGAGCTGGCCTCTGTCACTTCATTAGGTGTAATGTGAGTGGGCCATGGGCTCGATGAATGGATGGAGCATGGGCATGTGCAGTTGGGTTGGGTGCGCCATAAAGGGTTTGGGGTGTGGCTCGTGGAGTTCTAGTTCTATTACTTTATGCATGGGACATGGCGTATGGGACATGGTGTATGGGGCATGGTGTATGGGACATGGTGTATGGGACATGGTGTATGGGACATGGTGTATGGGACATGGTGTATGGGACATGGTGTATGGGACACGGTTGATGGGCATAAGGGCATGCCAGTCAATAGTAGCTTTCCTCCTTCGAAGCGTGTTAAAGTATCATGGTGTTCTGTAGCACACAAAGCGGAGTAGCGAGAGTAGCGAAGAGCATGACCGCGTGTCATTCCTTCCACTCTGTCACGTTGAACCAATGTGTTTGTACCACTCATCATTCATTCCCCAACCTTTCTTCGACACCACTCCATCAACCCTCCTGCTCATCCATATCGCCTGTTAGGCCGAGTTAGAGTGCATGATTTGCCTGTGCGTTGCCCAAATTGGCCAAGGGGTGTGAAATCTGATTACAGGCACTTCTATGTTCTTGCTGCTACGTCCTGCATCGGGATGCACATTGCTTACTCATATCATATCTCCTTTCCCTTGTACCCGTCATCTCATCTGTCTTTTCCCTCCTCACGCCCAACATCCCCTCCCAGCCGCTTGCAGAACAACACACTCAGTGGCCCCCTTCCGGACCAGTGGACGACTACCAAGCTCATGACGCTGTTTGTCATCTTTTGTTCTTGTTCTTGTTCTTGTTTTTTCTTTCTTTCTCCTTGCCTCTTCCTCCTTCACTCGTTCTCTCCAACCGACCCGTGGGGGGCGAACCGAGCCGAGTATGTTCGGTTTGTCCCTAACATTTTTTCTTGAATTTGTGTTCGAATGTTTGCCATTGTGGGTGAACACTTATGTGTTTGCCTCGAACACAGACATGTTTGTGTTTGCCTTTTGGCAGTACTGGCCTCGACCCGAACTGAGTCACCTCATTTCTGTGCTCATACCTCTCCACCACACGCCACGCATCTCGTCCCTCCCGGTACCGGCAACCCCCGGCTCGATAATCCAGCTGGCTCAGTAAACTTGTCGACATTCTAAAATCAATGGCTTGCCAGCTTTTGACAATGCGGAGCCAAACCAATCTCACAGATTTTACTCTCTCGCCACCCAAGGCGAACCGAACAGGTCTATTTTGCCCGGACAAATCTGTTTCGGGTCAATCATATTTGTGTTCGGTTCGTCGCGGGTGGCCAAGCAAGAACATGTTCCTGTTCAACTACTTGGAGCGAGGAACACCAGATTTGTTCTTCGCAAAATTCCTGCGACCCTAATATGAGGTCATGGGGAAATTCATCGAGCTCAAACTACCAGGTGACACCCAGTTTTTGTAGGAAGCCAAGTTGGTTAAACTACTCATTCAGGTTGAGGACCGTGCAACCAAGGGCGCCTCAGGCATATTAGCATTAAAGGAGCTCGTAGTTGGGTTAAACCTAAACTGGCCCAACACTCACAAACCATAGTAAAGTTGCCCATGAAAACTGGTCCGCATTGGCTTGGTGCAAGAGACTGTGGGGTGAGAGATTGGCTAGGGTTATCAAAGTTTCAAATACTGTTACGATAGCGAATTCCCACAGAAGGCGAGCATGAACATGTTTGCAGCGAACATGTTTGTGTTGGCAGAAAACATGGAAAGTTTTGCCTCTGTAGGCGAACACCCGAACACCCACGCTGACCAAATGTGTTCCCGGCGAACACATGACATGTTCGAGAGACCCGGAAAAGTTTGTGTTCAGGTTTTTCTCAAGCCTTTTTGGAAGCACCTCGAACCCCATTCCTCTATCCCCCATGTTGCTGTGCTGCGCCATTCCTCAGGGACATTAGTTATAACCAGCTGACTGGCACGATCCCTTCAACGATTGGGAGCCTCCCCCAATTGAGCAGATTGTAAGTGAGGTCTCCCAAGTGTTGGGTCCCCTGTGCAATGCAATGCAATGCCATTTAAATCTGCCATTCGATCCATACCTCACTGGGATGACCTTTTTTTCCCCCTTTTTTTGTCCTTGTTTAATTATATTTTTTGGCATCCCATTTCGTGTAGTGCAGCCATGTCCACAGAAACGAAACAAACCAATTCAGTTTACACACTATCGGGTCAGAACCAGTTCGTTCGACCTCCAAAAGCAAAACCGCTTCGGGTCGAACCGGTTTGTGAGCATTCCGTTTCTGGTTCAACACTTATGAATCAAAGTGGCTCTTGCCTCGTTCGATCATGGTATACATGTGTGTAATATCTTTGCATATCATGTATAGGTTAGATTCAGAGATGTAGTAATTTCATCTATTGGGGGGTTGTTGAGTGTACTAATAGGGTTGAGCATTGGGTCAACCTGACCTGACCCGACCCGATTTTCCTGACCCGAGGCGGGTTTGGGTTGGGTCGGATCGATTTTAAGATTTTCTACCCAACCCGAACCTTTTAGGGTCGCGTATTCTGGTAACCAGGTTTCTGGTCGGGTTGACCCGACCCTGGGTCGGGTATTTGTACCCAGTTTTCGCCCGCCATTGGATATAGTCTACTGAGCAATAGTTCACGGGGTTGTGCTGGAGCAAAGGACTCCCCTATACGAGGGGTCGAGCCTAGCTCATCACGAGCCTTCCCCCACCTTCACAAGCCACCATCGTGTAACAGATCTGACTAGCTCAGCTCGTTGCAGCTGGACCTGGCTCGGTGGCTCGGGAGAGGAGTGGATCTATCCAGCCTCGACCGCTGAAGCATCTCGTTATTGTGCTCAATGGCTTGCCAGCTTATGGCAATTCCGTGCAAAAACAATTTCACGATTTTTACTCTCGAGTCAGCGCACTTCATGGGAAACATCATAGGCCGCACTTTCGACTCTGATGCTTTGTTGCAAATTTTCACGTGTTTGGAAACACCTCAAACCCTATGTTGTTGTGCTGTGCCATCCCTCAGGGATATCAGTGATAACCAGCTGACTGGCACAATTCCCTCAACAATTGGGAACCTCTTCGAGCTGCGCACAATGTGAGTGGGTCACCCAAGAGCTGGCTCCCCTGTGCAACGCAATGCAATGCAGTGCATTGCCATGGAAATCTGCCATGCCACATGCCTGCACTGGATATCTTACTCACTGGAATACTTGCACATGCCCGCCCACCCGTACATTGGGCACATGCCATGCTGTGCTGAACTCATCACGCACCCTGCTGCTGCATCCCATGCGCGTATCACCACAAACGAAACCATGCGTTCCGTATCCATTCTCCAGTTCGCCCTCCTGCTCGTGCCTTCCTGCTCATGCCATAATTCTGTGTGATCAGCTTTTCATTGATCATCCTGTTCCATGGCTATGGTCTTGGCATCTCTACCAGCATCCTGCTTGTGTCTCACTTATCCTACCGCCTCCCTCGACTTGTTCCTTTAATTCAATCTAACCTCCCCCTCTTCGCTCCTTAACCACATTCCCTTTTGGTCGAGGGTTTAGTCATTTGTTTAACTTGTCTCTCCGTAAGATTTGTTCTTTTCCCCAGTGACCTGAGTAACAACAAGTTGTCAGGCACTATACCGGAAGATATCACAGGCTTGGTCTACCTCACACTGCTGTAAGGCTCACACTTCATTCAAGTAGCCCCTTCCCCTCTCCGTGACGCGCGGCCCAGTAAGCTGTTGCACAAGTGCATGCTCTGTTGCCATCAGTCTATACAGTTGAGGACTTACATTCCTGCCTGCTCGGCTGCTTGCCTCAGAACACTTTTGCTTGGTTGCCATGTGCGTGTTGACCCTACTCCCAGCCATACCCACCTCTGGACCCAAGGAAGCTTACCCACAACAACCATGCCCAGCACATCTTATTGCCAATGCGCGCTCCCTTGTCCCACTGCATCTTGTTTGCTTCCTTGTTGAAGCACTCTTGCTTTCTTTTCATGAAATCCGTCTGTGCATCTCCACCTCCGTTTTTTTGGCAACATTAAGGGATCTGAGCTCAAACCGTCTTACTGGCACCATACCCCAAGGGCTTTCAACTCAAACCAGACTAGAAGTTCTGTAAGTTTTACACCACCAGCTCAGTTTTACGATCATATTCCAACACTCTTATGTATTTCTTTTAATGTTTGCACTCCCAGGCTCCAACTATGTGGATAAGAGTGTTTGCCCTTTTTGTATCCGCTCTCCCCTGTATTATTCGGTCCTGTTTCCCATCCTCCCTTTTTTACCCAAAGCAACCTGAGGGACAATCTGCTCACAGGGAAGGTCCTCGAACCCGTGCCACCAGCAATAAAGACATACAAGCTGGACAACAACTACTTGAGTCAGGGGTTCTCCTCCCCCCCGCCGTGTGGGCAAGGCTACATCACATACCACAGCAACTGTGCAGACGTGCCAGCAGAGGGCCTTGCGTGTGCAGACAGCACTCAGAAGACCGACCCCGTCTGCACTTCCTTCTGCGGCGTCAACGGCACCGCCTCCCCTCCTGTGCCCGCCTGCAACGGCCATGGTGTGTGCTTCTTGGACGGCCCCAGCAACACGCCCACATGCCTCTGTGACGATAACTTCGTGGTTGGGGAGTTCCCTGGCAGCTGCGTGGCCGTGGCAGGTGAGCCACTCACAGTCACAGCTTCCCTCACACATGCAGCATCCCATGGCATGCCTTGTCTCTATTTCACTCACACCGATATGACGTTGCCAAGCACACCACATTCTTGTGATTGTATTTTTCAACTGCGTTTCTGGTGACCGAGTGCCCTCTTTGAGACCACATGTTTCGAACTTGCCTCTACAACTGTCTCGTGCCTCGAATCCCACATTCAGGTGGTAAGACGGAGCAGCAGCAGACCCCCACAGCAGCCACGCTCACAGCCACTGGCGACGCCGCTGTGGATGCTGCAACAGCCATGCTCACTCTCACGCCCGCCCAGCCGTCCAAGGCTGGCAGTGTGTTCCTGGCAGCGCGCGTGCCGCTCTTCTCCTACCAGCTCATTGGAGACTCCTGCGGCCGCGAGCTCGCCTTTTCCTCCAACTTCTCCTTCACTCTCACCCGCCCTGCTGCCTCCGGCTCCGAAGGCTTTGCCTTTGTGGTGGCCTTTGATGCCACCCCGCCCTCAACACCGGTGGTGGGCGGTATGGGGTATGCGGGGATGGGAGCGCACAACGTGGCAGTGGAGTTTGACACGTCGATGGATGCGGGCAACAGCGACCCTGACAGCAACCACGTGGGCATCAACACCGGCGGCAATGTCACGTCGGTGGTCACAGCCAAGCCCAGCACCCCTCTCAATGACGGCACGCCCAAGCACGTGTGGATCGACTACGACCCTTCCTCCAGTGGCTCCCTGCGCGTCTTCCTCTCCTCCCAGGCGTCCCCTCGCCCCACCACCCCCCTCCTGTCGGCACGCATCTCCCTGTGTGAGGAGCTCGCCCCCTCCCCATCGGAGTACACCTTTGCCATCGGCTTCACTGCTGCCTCCGCCACCCAGCCTCAAACCCATGTCGTCTCCGCCTGGACCCTCTCCACCTGTGAGTGTACCCCTACGTCCTTGTCTCTCACTTGTTGTTCCCACCTTATGTCTTTAGTAAGGAAAGCAGTCTGATGACCAATGGCATAGTTTGCAGCCTTAGCACAATGAATAAGCTACAATTTCGTTTTGACATTTTTTTGTTATTTTTCCTTTTCTGTTCTTTACTTCTGTTTGCAGACTTTCCCATCCAGCCAGCTCCAGGTGCGATACTCTCCTGTTCTTGTGAACCAGTTCCGGTTTGGGTGATGAGTATTTCCTTTAACAATCGTCGCCGTGTCTACCATGTACCCTTTCAGTTGCAGCGCGGGGATTTTCGTTTAGCGAGGCGGCACTCTCTCTATCGGGGATTAATCTATTTTTCCGCTATGCCAGCTCGGGCAGTGTTGCTGCTGAGGGTGGCCGGGACGTGTATGGTGTGCAGCCTGCAGCTTCCTGGGCTAGGCCTGACTTCACATGGCCTGTCAAGACACAGAGCGCTTGCGGTGAGTACGCTTGAACCCCGCCATAAAATATACCTGATGTTCAGCTATATGATACCAGGCCTTTATATGTGGTTCAGAAGTTCAGATCTGTGATCACATAGGTCGTTCAAGCAAGAGTTCATGTGGTAGGTGAAGGGTGGGGGAGGGTCGAGGAGGAGATGAAAATGGAGACAAGCCATACTTGCCTGAATGCGATTAACAAAGCGGGTTGAGCAACACTCGTCCCACCTTAATATTATTGAAATTTGACTTGAGTAAGGTATTCTTTCCTGGGCTCTTTCTTCGCTCATGCCTAGGGCGGTCTGGCCCTAGGCATGGTCTTACTGCAGTACTGGCCGAGTACTGCAGTATCTGCTGCTGACAACCAGCAGCCTGTTGACTACTATTAGGACCTAGCAGCTCTTATCACACCTTTAATTTACACTATATAGTCCCCAGAGGGTCACCTCCAATGGTCCTCGGGTGCCTGCTGAATCAGCCCTATCCAAGGGTCCGTGCTCGTAGAGGGAACCAAGGGTGAAAACAATCATGTGCACTAGAGCATTCCCAAAGTCCGTTGCGCATTAGACGATTGCTAGGTCCATGTTCAGAAATAGCTCATCGCGTCAATACGTCGATAGAGCAAAAGCTTGATTACAACTGAACACAAGCACACATATACAGAAATCACTAAGCATGAGCAAAAGGCACACAAAGAAGTCATTCAACTGCATTCTCGGACTTCGCCACGCCAGGTAAGCAATGAAAACTGTTGTCCAGCATCTGTTGCGTTTGGCTTGATCTGCTCTATAGAAAATTTGTTTTCAGATTTCGCTTCCTCCAAACGCCCCTGCTGACTCGTCTCACGAGCGATCATGAATGCACATGTAGAATCATGTTCCCTCGTGTGGAATTACTGTTTTCCCGTTGTAAAACGACTTTTACCGTTTTCTACCTGAAACAAAATTGTCGTGCTACACGCGCGATGTTATGGCGAAGTCTACTGATCGCCACGTCACAAAAGACGAGGCTCGAGATGCAGTGATATGACTAACATAACGAGCAAAACTCGAGCACCCCTCAGGATCTTGCAGCACCCTCCGAAACCCACGCGCACCTCAGGCCGGCGCAATTATAGCACAGGAGATATTTCCAGTAGTGCTGTACAGTGCACGTTGTGCGCTGTCCTGTGCAAGGTCATGGCAAATTTTGCCTGTCCTGTTGCAATTGTGCCCCATGCGCACACTCACAACAGTGCGAGCCACAAGCGTGGTCCCTGTGGGGCCACACGCGAGATCTGGACCCCACGCGCGGTCCAGATTCTCCCGCGCTTTTACCTTGACCAGCGCGATAAGAATCTGAGGGGCAAAAACACTCCCTTGCCCCACATGAACTCACACGAAAACTTATGACAGAAAATACAAGTAGTCATGAACGAACATGATCGTACATGAATGTACATTAAAGTACATAAACGCTCTTAAACGTACACGAACAGCACGAGAACGCTCATGAACAAGATGCAAGGGTCCATTAACACTCATGAACATTTGGAACTTCATGAAACACCACGAACGCTCATGAAAAGTTGACACTTCTCGCATGCACGAACAAACAGTCATAAAGATTCATGAACGGCCACTAATGCAACATCACAAGAACTCATATAACCCATGAACCTCTAATGCGGTTCACAAACCATAAACACACAATTGAAAAGCACACAAATTTGTATTACACACACCACAAATCTATTTAAAACAAAATTCTTCAAATTCCTTGCTCGAGGAATGAGCGACAGGTTGACGTGCAAGTTATGTTTTGCACCCAACACAGCCTTCACACATTGCTTGCATGCAACTGTGCCTATCATTGACTCCCACCCATGTGTTTTTCATATGCAACCCATGAAATCCAGGTGTTTCCTCTATGCAACCCTCACAACCCATGTGTTTTCTCTGTGCAACCCTCACCACCCCTGCATTTCCTGGCAGGCGACTGCTGGGCGTACGCAGTGGTGGGCAGCGTCGAGGCGGCACTCGGCATTCTCTCCAACACCTCAGCGGCGCCGGTGCTGTCAGTGGAGCAGCTGAAGGTCGCCATGAAGGTCGGCTGCTCTGGCAGCACGCCGTCTCAGGCCTTCCAGCTGCTGCTCAAGCTGGCGCAAAAAGGAGGCGGGCTCATGCCGGAGAGCCAGTGGGCGGTCGAGAAGGTCAAGAAGCCCGCGAAGGCAGGCAGTAGCAGTCCTCTCTGCGCACCGCTCATGAAGCCATTGGCCAAGCTATTTGGTGTGGCGTGCAGCAAGGGTAGTGACAGTGTACGTTTGAGAGTAGAGAGGTTGTGGGAGTTTGAGCGGCTCACAGCATAGCTGGATTGACTCAGTGCATGTCGTTCGGACAGTTGGGTTACTGTGCTGCTTCCAGCTCGAGCTCAAGTTCCTTAGATGCTGAATGCTCATAAGCGTGTATGCTGTTCGAATTTCTAGCTTTGTTAGTTCAATCTCCATACCCCATCCTTCCATGCAACAGTCATCGTCCATACCCCGTCCTTCCCATTCCCAAGCAGCTTCCCGGTGGGTTCCCCATCAGGGGCTTTGAGTCGACGTCCTTCTACGGCTGGTTTGGGCTGCTGCTGGCCGTGCAGCGGCAGCCAGTGGTGGTGCACATTGAGGCTTCCGCCTCGTCGTTCAAGAATTACGATGGGGTAAGGCGAGCAGTGGGGGATCTTGTGTGGAGGAAATGGAAGAATGTGATGGAACGAATAGAAAGCCATGTGAATGAATAACAGATGCATGTGACTGTGTATGTAAGAGGGTGTGGCGGTGAATGGGAGGGCATGTTTGTAACGCGTGCTGCACTTTTGAAAAGGAGTGGATATGGTATTGGTTGTGTTCTGGCGTCCTGAACCCCTTCTACACAGGAATATACTAAGGCATGTGGGCAAATACTCATTACCCATTCCGTCCTTCCCCCAGCTGTACAAGTACCAGGACCCCGATTGCTTCACGTTCAACCTGAACCACGTGGTGCTGCTGGTGGGGTACCGCCTGGTGGGCAAGGACTCGCGTTTCCCCAAAATGGCGCCGCCCTTCTGGATCATCCGCAACTCATGGGGGCCTGACTGGGGCGATGGGGGCCACATGCGCATGGACATCCAGGGGGGGGATGGTGTGTGCGGCATCAACTCGCTGCCAGGCCTCTACCCTGTGGTTAGAGGTGAGTAAGTGCATGGCCAAGGGTGAGTGCATAGTCAATGGTTGTGCACGGTGCATGATGGTTTTCTTTGTACGCACCAATGAAATCATATCCTCCATTTTTGTTTTTTTGAGAACATACTACCATCTCTGGTTTCAAACTGAACCACCATTTCTGTTATTCAATCATACCTCCGTCTCTGCAGTCCTTGGTCATGTGAACTCATCTTCCTTTCTTCTCTGCCCCCCTCTGCCCCCTCGCTCTCTACCTGCAGGCACCGCTGACCCCTGCAGCAAAGCCGCCCGCAATGACAGCACTGGTTCGTTTTTCAATCCCTGCGGCAAGTTCACCTGCATTGCCAAGGGCAAGACAAACGAGTGTGACTGCAACGACCCGCGCTTTATCCAAGCAACCAACGCAGATGGCTCTCGCACATGCACATACAGTAAGCCTCTGCAGCCACCGCCCCCACCCCTCCTGCTGCTGCTGCCGCCGCCGCCGCCACCGCTGCTGCTGCTGCAGCGGCTGCTTGCCTCCTCTCATTGCTGTCACCGCCACCACGTCGGCTCTGTCCTCCCTTCCCTCCCTTTCACTCTCTTCCCTCCCCTCCCGACCCTTTTTCCTCCCACCCAATTGCACTCCGCTTCAGAGGACGCATGCAAGGCAGCTAAGCGCAACCCGTGTGCAGTGGGAACATGCGTGAATGACGGGGCGGGGTCATACTCGTGTGTGTGTCCACCGGGCTTCAGGCAGGGCACCACCGTCTATAGCACCTTCTCTTGTGCTCCAGGTACGTCCTTGTAGATTTCCTCTACCAGAGCGTCTCAATAAAGCTCAGAAGCACGATGTTTGCACATCGAAGATGATCACAGAATGATCAACTAAAGGCAGAGGTACACACAGAAACGTGAGTGGTGGTCTCTCAAACTTTTCTAATTGCCCTTCAGTTTTTATGTACTACAATACGCACACAAAACAAATTATAAATGGAGCTTTCAACCTGAGTCGTGCGCAACTTGTGATCTTGTGAACTTGAATTTTGCTGATGCAAGATTCAGAGACAAAAAAAAAAAAAAAAAAAAAAAAAAAACTGAAAAAAAAAGGTACCGACAAAATTCTTTGCGGGCAAATTTCATTGGCTGTCAAAATACAGCCTTTGACCAAATTACTTTAATGTAACACATGGACCAAAAGGTCACAGGTCCGGACCTCGTGTGAACCATACAATGTGCAGAAGACTCTGTTGGGACACATGTGCCAGATAGAAAGATGTTGGGTTTTAATCCAACCATAATTCCGAGCATACCCTGCTGTATTGCTCATGACAACAGTTCGTTTCAACACTCCAATGCTCCTGGTACCCTATCTTGTGCACCAGGTACCTTCTCTGTGAACAGATATGAGCAGTAGTGATTAGTCTACCAAGAAACGCAAACATCCTTAAGCACAACTTCTGTTAAAGGATCAAACGGATGAGGGGCAAACAGGAAGAAATCTCAAGGGGATCTACATGAATTAATAGGTGAATCTAACCTGTGCTGCATGTACATGTGGCATACATGTGTTGCTTGCTGTGGTGCATGCAGGTGACACCAGCAACACCTACACCGTGCTCTCTCCCAACGTCCGCTGCTCCGATGTCTTCCCGGTCTACAGCCTCACGCTTGCCCAGTTCCAAGCCCAGAACGTGCGTCTCCCGCAAACTTGAGAATTCTCCATACTGATCTAATCAAAATTTTTATATCAAAGCATGTGTCTCTTGTACCCACACCTCTGCCCTATCCTCACCACCCACTCATCCTCCTTATCACTCGACTCCCTGACCAGACGCACGTTCTGGTCACACAGTTGCCTTTCCTGTCTTTCACCACGCCACTCACACACAAGCTCCTTCCCCCCCATGACTGCCTGGGTGTGTGCCGTGTCCCTTCATGCCTCTCCCTCGGTGTGTGCAGCCATCTGTGTCGTGTGTGGGACCCATCCCACCCTCCACCGTACTCAAAGTGGCCAGCCCAGCCTCTCTCATCCCCTGCTCAGTCTTCTACACCACTCAACAGGTCCCCACCTCGCATCCTTCCTGCCTGTGCACCATTTTTTCCATCTTCCTCCATATCCTCATCTTCCTCTTGCTACCTCTAAATATGTCCTAATGTGCCATAGCCAATGCCCTTCATCCCATTTCGACAATCTCAATTCTTCTGTCCACCCCATTTCAAAAACCTTAAATTCGCCAAACGTTTCACGTCTCTACCTTTGCTGAAGAGGGTACTCACACTCTCTCACTCTCTGGATCCCCTGTGCATCTCTCTCACTTCAATGTTTCACCTCACTTCCTGTTACTGAGCGGAGCTCTCATACTCTCTCACTCCCTGCTTCCCTTGCCTCCCACCTCCCGCTCCTCCCTGGCCACCTCATCCTCAGGGCGACACCTGCGCAGCCTTAGCTGAGTTTTTCAAAGTGCACTTGTCCTGCCCATCTGATGACTGCACAGCCGCCTTCCAGGCGCTCAACCCCAGCTTGGACTGCAGCGCCAACGGCGGGCTGCTGCAGCCGGAGCAGGCGGTGTGTGTGGAGCGCATAAAGAAGAAAGTGGGGCTCATCCCGGTGTGCTCGCAGTACTACCTGGTGCAGAGCGCAGAGACGTGCGAGTCCATCCGCAATGTGCCCTACCCCCCACTGAGCCCCGTTGACTTCTTTCGCCTCAACCCCGGCATCAAGTGCAACCGCCTCATTCCAAACACTGATGTTGGCAGCTTCACTGGCTTTGAGGTGCGTGCGTGTGTCTGCTCATGCCCCTTTGCCCTTCTGTGTGGATCAGCCGCCCTCCCCATCTAACTCGCTGCTTGCTGTCTCTTTTTCTATTGCATTCCCTCCCCCCACCTCCCAGGCATGCATTGCGAGCTCCACGTCGTACACTCAGGGCACGTGCCCACGTGCGAATGCGTATGTGGTGGGGACAGGCGACAGGTGCACGGCCATTCAGGTGAAGTACTTCCGGGGCATCAAGGGCTGCTACAGGAAAGTCAACGGATATGACTGCATCGACAAGCTCATCAAATCAACCCGCGTGTGCCTGCCCGACAAAATCAAGCTTCAGAAAGGAGTCTGCGACAACTGACCTCCTGCAGCCTGCCTCTGCATCTCCCGTAATTTGAATTGGCAGATGTTTCCTGTCCCACAAGCTTATTCTTGAATTTCTTTGCTCCACGCTAAGTAACAATAAGGAATATCCTTGTTAGCGCCTTCATGGCTGAGGTGTTGGAGCCAGGGTATGTCAAACTATGTTCTAAATGTGTGTATTGTATCTTTAGGCTAGAAAGAGCTAAGCTTTAGGGAGTGCAACACTTTATACTTGTGTTCCCTGTACTCTTGTCATATTTTCTTCTCGACATGGTATCCTCGGTTAGGTGAGGTTGCTTCCGCTCCTCTCCTGATCTCCTAAGTAATTTCCTCGCCAAGCCTAGCCTAAGTAAGTCCGAAATTTCCCTCCCAAGTCGTACCCTAGCGCTGCCCTGCTGCCCCGCTACCCAGTGTGCCATGCTGCCACGTCGCCCAGAGCACCAGCGCTGCTGCCTCATTAGTGCGAGCAGCAGCTGCAGCAGCGCTGCCACCGCCACCACTGCCTTGGTCGCCACCAGGGCTCAGGTTTGCAGTGTAATTTACCCTTCTATACTGATTACAAGGGTGAATTTTTGGGTCTACACTGATGTGCTGGGGTAAGTTTTTGGTGAGTTAGTGTTACACTGATCTGTAAGTGTAATGATTTAGGCCACACTGATGCTCTGGGGTAATTTTTCCCTTAGTGAAGATTAACCTGAAGAGCGTACAGGGACTCCCCCCCCCCCTCGGAAACTCTACTTATTGAGAAGAAGTTTCCTAGAACTTTCGTAGCGATACACCCAATTTCGTAATGATGCACTACGACGCCAGCACACGTGAGTACTGACAACCGACACCGTGTCACTCCGTGTCTGCTTGCAACCTACCCGTTACTGTAGAGGCGATGCAACCTGATTGGTCGAAGCTGCACTCTCTGCAAGAACGTCAACTTTCTTGACTCGGAAATTTGGGACTCGAGGTTTCCGAACACACTCGAAATTTGCTGACTTGGCGAAAAATACAAGTGTTGCAGCGAAACAAGACAAGCCACTGCGCTCGACTTTTGAGTTCACATCACAACTCCCACCCACCAGCGCCCAACTTACGATAGTAATCGTGCGCGATTTGGGCCTCGAGCTTGATTGCAGCCAGCACATATTGAGCAGCCTAAAGTACAATCAGGGTAAAAAATATACCTACACTGATGCCTCTGGGTAAAGTTTTCAAAACTTCAAGTTACACTGATCCATCAGTGTTTCCAAAAAGGGCACACTGCGCAGAAGGGTTTTGAAAATGTCTACACTGCTAATCGTGAGTAGGCAAAATCCAAACCTAAGCCCTGGTCGCCACCACTACTGCCTAGGCCATTGCTTCCTAAGCCGCCGCCGCTGCTGCTACCTAGGCCGCTGCCGCCTAGGCCGCCACCGCCACTGCTACCTAGGCGCTGCCGTCGCCGCTGTTGCCTAGGCCGCCACTGCGCTGCTGCTGCCTTGCCGCTGCATCTGCCTACCTATGCCGCCGCCACCGCTGCTGCCTAGGCCGCAACTTGTTAGAATTATGGTTAATTCGGGTTGCTCCAATAAACATAAATATTAGTGTAGAATACATAGGCTGGGTTGGAAGAGCTTGTGGTGTACACTCTTTAAAGTGGACCACCTCTCAAACCCTATAGGTTAGGGTTCTCTCTTGTTAACTTCACTTCCAGGCCCCTAGATTCGTTTTGAGGTAGTCTGACGCCTCAGAGTACACCCCTCCTGGAACTCTGTCTATCAGAGGTGCCTCAAAATTTTAGTCTGAAAATTCAGACAAGCACAACTTTTTTTTGTCTGAACTGTCAGAGTTACCCTCAAATTTTAAGATGATGATGCAGTATCGTAAAAGCATATTTATAATAGCATTGAAGCTGATTACAGCATACCAACTCAACTGTGCGGTACGAACCAGTCAGGGTCGGCGGGTTTGCATCAGGCAACGTGCTCGTGCATCGCCTTGGTTGTTTTGTCACGTGCAGCGCATGGGTTGTTTCTGCTGATTAGATTTCGTTTTGTCGTGTGTCTGATTACCGTTCTGTACCCATTTTCTCGCTTGTGTGCCGATTTTGTCGATTTTGCATTTGCGTTTCAAGCGATGTGATCATTCACCCGATCTGGTTGTTGTCACGTACGGTGCCAGGAGGGCCAAGTGCCACGCAGCTGAGCTGGCAGCAGGCAGAAACTGTTGGTTGGCGTGGCGTGTGTGAGCATCTGGCAGTGCCGCATGAAACTTTCATTACAAATCAGGAGCTTCGCAATTTCACAGCAGTGCATGCTGCATATTTTTTTACAAAGAATCAGCATAAAAATCGCCAATTCTTTAAAATACATTAGCGATAACTTACATGTGACGAGATTTTGTCTACGAAATCTCGTAATCATGCAACCATTTTCTTAGTGTAACTGGGAGATATTCTCGACGAACGAGTGTATTCGGATGTCCCAGCTGCTGAAGCGTGCGTTGCTCACGTCCTGGCACTCCACTGCCATCTCGGAAGTGGGCATATCGAAACGAATCTTCTAGGAAACTTCGTTTCGATAAGCTCGCAGAGTGCACCCCCGACACAAGTCTGAGGCTCAGCCTACACCCCTAAAAATTGGCTGAAATTTCAGCGGTTACAATTAAAAAAACTCTGAAAAATCAGAGAAGGTACATAAAAAAAAAAAACTTACAGTTCAGACCAGGTACAAAAAAAAAGTCTGAATGGACGCTGAATCAGCGTAAAAAGTCTGATATCTAGGGCAGTGTTCACTTCTTTGAAACTTCTTTGGTTCTAGCATGATTCATGCCCAAGTTGGCTTCTAAGATTCCTAGGCTTTAGGAGGATGTTCTAAGACCACTATAGCTTCCACTAGTAGCTTAGACCATTCTAACACTACCAACGTTGTTACCTAAGCCGCCGCCGCTGCAGCCTAGGCCGCAACTATCGTTGCAACCTAAGCTGCCGCCGCCACTGCTGCCTAGGCTGCTGCGTTCATATACATATACAAAGTAGCAATGGGCTTATGAGTTGTTATACCCTTTTTAGCTTTATTATAATAACATTGTTTGGAATATGACCAGCAGCTGCTGACGTGTTGGTCCAACCCTATCGATTCTACATGGCTTGTTTTTCCTGAATGTGCACATGAGTGTGTGAATCGTGGGTAATATTATCAAATGTGTGTATGGAGTCGTTATCGAGCTTTTGCCAGTTGGATGACACGTCGTCGTTTGTGTATCGTGTGTTTTTATTTTGTCGTGTGTCGAACATTTGGTGTATTGTCGTTTTGTGCAGCAAGCTATCGAGACCAAAAGGAATAATTAACCATGAAGACCCAAAGCACATTATTTGTCGCTGTGACCATTCTGTTATCAAGTTTCGAAGCCGCTCTGCAGAAATCCGTATAGGCACTCTATCTTCTGTTTAAGTCGCTCTATCTTTGCACCATAACGAGTGGGATCAGAGCCCCACAGAGCAGCTTCGACAATGACTAGACTTGAAAAAGAGGCTGACAGGGATGTTAGTGGAGAAGCCAAACCTCAAGGCCAAGCACATGACCCCCCTATGGTTCCCTTACAACGAAGTCTTGGCCCTTCTAGGGATGAGCCTAGAGGTGGCCTTGACACGTTCAATGGGCACAAGTTTGGTTAATGAACCTTCAAGACTGAGACTAGATTTGACCACTATGATCTTCTCGAGGTGATGGAAGGAACGGAGAAGCACCTCGAGAACGACGCGGAGAAGAGCCAAGAGGTGCAGAGGAGCGCACAAAGTCATCCCCGGTTTGGGCAAGCATTGGGAAGCAGCCAAATTTCTCATATCAAGCCATTCCAGTATGAACCAGAGAAGGGACTCAAGGCATGGCCTGCTCTCAAGGGTGTACGTGATCTTGCAATAACAGCGGTAGCTATGATATTAGTGCGGCAAATGGAGACACTATGTGTTGAAGAAGACGAACCGGTTGAAGAAGGGATGTAAAAATTCTTTGGCTTGTTAATGCGACGTGATGAGCTGATCTCATTGACAATGAGCTAGGAAAAAAAAAAACAAGCTACTGGCCTTGCTTCTTGAGTCATGGACCTAGCTCATCATCAACTTGAATCGTGATCTGTCATGCCTCTCACCAGGAGATGTGAAGCGAGCGATATGGTTGAGGAAGGGGCGGAGGATGAGTATGATGCCGAATTGGAAGCAGAAACGATAATAGTGGCCACAGAAATGGTGGATACGATAGCGGCAACAAAAGCTACAGACGCGGACGTAGGCGATTCGACAACGAATGATACTATTGTCATAAGAGCGGACACATGTGATGCGATTACTTCGAACTTTCTGACGGTTGGACTTGGGCTCAAGCCTAGGAGGGTAGAGGAGCAAGTGGAGGGAGAGAAAGAGGTTGTGGAGGGCGCGGCAGTGGTGGAAGTGGAACTAGTTGTGTGAAAAGTGGAGATTTAAAGGACTCGAGCGACGAGCAGTTTTCATGTCAATTCTTCTTTGTCTCGATGCAAGCACCGGCTCCAAAAACCAGAGATGGAGGCTTTGAGGAGCCACATGTTGTGGGAAAAGACGCACTACATTCCCTGACCATAGTTTTGCCAAGTATAGCAGACTTTCTCACTGAGCTTGAAGCGTCGTCATTGAAGCATGCCACATCAGCTTTAGGGCAGCGAGTAGAGGTGAAAGATATGGCAAGGCGATGTTCAGGGTGCTGATAGGCAGTTGGTGGGCCTTAAGAACGTGCTTTAGGTAACCAGCCTTTTTGCCAACCTTATATCTGTGTGGCGGTTGCAAAACGCCGACATTGACACAAGTTTGGAAGGTTCCAAGACCTACACAGTTGGGCTTGGCGAGCGGATTCCTTATGACATTCACGAGGACGGGGATATCTGCAACAAGATATGGCAGATCCCTATGGTCCCTATGCATAAGGAGACAAGTGGCAACATGCATTAGCGCCAAGATTAAAGCGATTAGAAGCAACAACGACGCGAACGATGGCACCA